AGGCTAATTCATAGCCAAGTTCGATAACATTATCTATATTTGAGTCAAAAAAGCGCTAGAGCTTTGAATTTGATATTAAAAATTATATAGCAAACTGGGTTCGTAGGCAGATCGTAGACGGATTTGGAATTTGCACCAGAATCCCCTTTTTTTGCCTATATCATAAATAATTATAAGAATTTAATATAAGTTTTAGCATTTTGCTAGTTTTGACAAGAAAAAAAACCCCCCTTTAGTTTCTTTAGTAACTTTAATTATATTTAATTAACTTAATTATTTTGATTATTATTTATTTTAATAAAATTAATGTCTATATTTGTATTAGGAATTAATAAGTTATTCAAAGATAAAATAATATGATTTTTTCAGTCTAGTTCAATATTATTATTATAATACATTGATAAAGTTGATTACTTACTTTTAAATAATTAAATATATTAAATGTTCTTTTAATTTGGATTTTCATATATAAGCTTAATAAAACTACAAAATTTGACTTCATTTTTATTATAATTATATATTATATAAGGTCAATGATTTAATAATAAAGTAATTTTTAATAAAAATTCATGTTATTTTTATAAAAAGTAATTATAGGATTTTATAATTTTAAGATTAACAACAAATTTCATCAATTACATCAAGTTTTACTAAAATTAAAATGATATTTAAAAGCCAATCATATAAAACTTTCTCATACTTACTAATAGTAGTTTTCTTTATACTAATAAAATTTAAAATTCTAAAATTAATAAATTTGTTATTTCTATAAATATATTTTTATATTTTTATTAATATTATTAATTATAAATCAAGATAAATTAAAAAATAAATTAATAATGCAATATTAATATAAATCATTTTCTGATTTGTGATTCTTATATAATTTGTTTTAATTACATAATTTATGAACCATTAATAATTTTTTAGTTGCATTCAGTCATAATATTTTATAGTAATTTTATTATAAAATATTTTCAGTAGCATTCAGTCACAATTTATTAATGGTTCACGAATTATAAAATTAGCTATAAAATTTAAGAAATTTTATTACAGCTTAATAATTTTTCAGTCACATTTAATCATAATATTTTATAGTAATTTTATTATAAAATATTTTCAGTCACATTCAGTCATAATTTATTAGTGATCTATGAATTATAAAAAAATAGAAAAGTAATATTAATCAAAAAATAATAACATAAATATATATTAAATTTAGTAATATGTTTTACTATATTGATATTAGAATTAGGATTAGGATGATTTTATTACTTAAAACAGTAACAATTTAATTTCGTTTTAAATTTCTCAGTCTTAATTGGCTCCTAAGAATAAAGTATTTGATTTACCATTACGAGCTTTAAAAGAAAGGTTTTTATTGGATAACTTCAAAGTCGCTGGTAAAAAATTACCGTTTGACAACATGTTATCAAGCTTAAAAAGGCTGCCTTCGAGATTTAGACAACACTTGCACTACCATACACGAAGGTAAAGGATTAGACGTCTACTCCGCATTCTTCTTTTTCTATCTTTCTTTCATTTTCATTTTTTTTTTTTTTACCTTCCTCTTATTATCTTTTATAATTTTTTCTTTGTTTCTGTGTTTCATTATTTCCTTTTTTCTCATACTTTTAAAACTTAAATACGAAAATAAAAAGATGTCCAATATGATACCACATGGTGGCGCTACTAGATCCATACGTAAAAAACGAAATATACAGCTAAAGCTTGAAAGTTCTCCAGTTGTCTCGTCACCACAAAAGACTGGTCCAGACGATGCAAGAGAAGGACTAGCTCAGCGTATTACAGATCTTGAAGTTGGGTTGGAATTTAGATTGGATTTAAAATCTGAAGATTTGAAGCATTTGAAAGAACTGGGGGCAGGCAATGGTGGTACGGTGTCGCAGGTTATGCACATTACTACTAAGACTTTGATGGCAAAAAAGGTATAGTACACAAAAAAAACTCGGGATTTGTTTGGATCCATGAAAAAAAAAATTTTTTTGCTAATTTTTACATACGTCAGTCAATTACATTGGGTAATTATTTCGAACCATGAACTTAATATAAGTCGGACTTTGATGATATATTCAAACTATTCCCACTTCTTTTAAATTTCTTGTAATAAATTTCTCTGATGTGGACAATACTTTTTTTTTATTTTAAATTTTTTAGATTATTCATATTGACGCAAATCCAAGCCTTCGAAAACAAATTCTTCGAGAACTTCAAATTCTTCATGATTGTAATTCAAGATATATTGTATCATTTTATGGCGCATTCATGTCTGATGCAGACATTTCAATGTGTATGGAATATATGGATGTTGGGTAAGTGTTGATATTTTAATAATCAATATATTACAAGCATGATCCTTTGTTGATATTACTCTTTAAATTCAACAGAATGATATTCTATTTATAACACATCTGAACCTTTTTCGTTGTAATATAATTTCTTTAATCTAGTTCGCTTGATCAAATCTATAAAAAGAATGGGCCTATACCTTTAGAAATTGTTGGCAAAATCACGATAGCAGTATGTTTATATTTAAATTTTTTGATGTTTCAAATTTATTATTTATATCAAATTTTATTTTGTTTAAAAGGTTTTAGAAGGCCTTAATTATCTCTATGAAAGTCATAGGATCATTCACAGAGGTAAATTATATATTATTGAAACTTTTCTGTCAAGTATGCTAATTTAAAATTATATTCTTATCATTATTATTTGTTATTATAAAGATGTTAAGCCTTCCAATATTCTTGTCAATTCAAAAGGACAGATCAAGATTTGTGATTTTGGTGTATCTGGGCAATTAATTAATTCTATTGCCGATACATTTGTAGGAACATCAAATTATATGTCGGTTAGTTGATTAATTTAGAAAGTAGTATTCACTCTAAAAATATTTTAGTAATTCAAATTTTGTTTTCGCTCATCAAAAATTTTAGCCAGAACGTATTCAAGGTGCTACATATAGTGTTCGTTCTGATGTTTGGTCGGTTGGCATTACTCTGATGGAATTGGCGATGGGTCGATTTCCATTTCCACCAGATGGTAGTCAATTGACTGTGTTGGAACTTTTGCAACATATTGTAAATGAGGCAGCACCAAAGCTACCAGTTGGAAAGTTCCCAGAAGACTTTGATGATTTCGTTCAGAAATGGTGTGTGGATTAATTTATGTTATTATTATATGGTGCATGAGATAATTTCAACAGTTTTATTCATCAGAGTTAAGAAGTTATCATATTTAATTCTTTTTTTTTTCCTCCCCTATTTAGTTTAATCAAGGAAGTAAGTGGTCGACCATCTCCAAATGAATTGTTGGTAAGGATTTAATATTTATTTATTAATTTTTTTTTTTTTGATGATGAAATTATCATTAATTACATTTTCACTAACTAATGAATAATTTTGATTATAATTAAACAGAAACATCGTTACGTTACAGATGCTAAAGAATCCAAAGTGGATGTTGAAGCTTGGGCAAAGAGCATTAATAGATAATAAAAAAGTATTGATTTTAGAAGGTATGATAGTTATTAGTTTATTGAAAGCACAATATGTAACTTTTTTAGTACGTTGGTTATGTTAGGAATATGTGAAAAAGGAGAAATGAAAAGCATTGAAACAAATGATGGAGAGAGATGTGTTTTGTTAAAAGGAAGATAAATTTAATTAGTTATGTTATATTTTATATTTCTTTAACGTATATGATGTGTATAGAAATTATTATTATTATTATTATTATTATTATTATTTTGTCATTAAGTACCGTTATTGCGGATCACTTTACCTGTGAAAATAATACCTAGTTATTACTATTATTTTTATTTACAGTGTAATAATATTCATATTATATATTATTATAGAATAACGTATGAAAGGAAATTGATGTTACAAAATTTGATGCTTTTTTTTTTTTTTTTTGTGAAATAGTACAAATTTAATCAAACAATATGAAACCAAAAGTTATTTAATTTATAAAGGTAGGTAATTATTTGATAAGGGTATTGTCGTTATAAGGGAAAGATATTATGTTGTTAAATATTTTATGAATATGAAATACCTAATAAATTATGGTAGATCTTCCTCCATAAAAATATTTTTACTGTTCTTATTCTTTTGTACCCGCCAAAAATATGACGTCAAATGTAATAACTAGATTTTCTGCATCCATAATACTATATATAGTAAATAACACAAGATCTTCTTTTCTTTTTTCAAACAATATTAAAAGTTTTTTTTGCCGAATATATGAGATATTAATATAGTAATGACAAATCGATCCTGTTTGAAATCAGGTTCAACCCTTTTTTAATTACTGGTTTAATAAATATATTTGATATTCCGTCTTCAAATGCCAAATAAGTTTACAATTTTTGGGTTTTTAATTTCCATTAAATTGGGTAATGTCACCCTTTAAGTGTAATCAAAATTAAACATTGTTCACCTACCACCATTTTTAATCGTCAAATTACTTAATAATGTGATGCTAGAAACTGATGTGCGAGTAAAATATGATTATGCAAGAATAAAGTTTCTTTAAACATACTCCAAAAGTAAAATTGATGATTAAATAATTACAGATGATGTGATGTAATCCGCAACCACGAAATCTCCAAATTTTTTTACCCCAAAGTTTATCTTTTAAATGCAACAATTCATGCGTGGGGAAGTCCCCAAAGATAAAGGTAACAAAAGATATTCACTGCACATCCACGTGGGTTCTTTGATTGTTGCAAATCATTCCCTTACGGGAAAGGAAAAAAATGATATTTATATCAATTCAAAAAAGTTTTTTTGTCATAATCTTTCGTAATTCTTGGTTTGTTAGTTTGTTCTTTGTTCTCTGTTTCCACTTTTCATTATCCATTCGTTTTTTTAACTTTTTGAAATCTTTGGCGCACAATCACTTTTTAATTGGTTTTCATCAAAAATTTATTAAGTAATTTGTTTATAACACGAAGGAAATTGTGGTACTTTAACCAACTTTTATTGTTATCATGTGTATTTCAACTTCCCTTTCGCAATCTGAATAAAATGCATGTACCGAATTTATTATTCATAAACATTTATCTAAAAATTCGTTGATCAAAACAAGTTGATAATTACCATAATTGTTTAGGTATACAATTTGCGTTCCCAATCTGTCAAATTTAACATCGCTTTTGATTACAAGGATCAGTTTGATATTAGTGTGAATTGCTTGGTCATCTGGGAATTCATATGAAGGAATAACTAAACCGCAGTAAGTTTGGTAAGATTTCAACTAATTATTGTCCGACAATAAAATCAAAGCGATTAACCTGCATGCAATATATAAAAAAACTGGTTCTTTTCCACTTTTAGTTTTTTCTGCTAATTTAAAAAAATATATATCTTACCCTCTTTCATTAATGGGCCCTTTTTTTTTTTTTCTTAATTTCACATAATTATTATAAATTCACCCTGTTTTCTTTGAATTTTTTTTTTTCTCCTTTTTTTTTAAAAAAAAATTATATTCGATTAGAATTTGAATCGCAAAACATAATTGACATTTTTTGATATAATCTTCCGCGTGGCATTTTTTAAATGTGGCAGTTTTTAAAAATAGAAAAAAAAAATCCTAATAAGTAATAATATATAAAAGCTAATGTTTTAATTATTATTACCATCCATTATTTTTATTATTTCCCTAAGGATTTCTTCTGACCGAGCCTTTTCATCATAGACTTTTGAAATTTGCTGTATTAATTAATCATAAATACATACTTAATTCGTAATACTGAAGACAACTTTAGACGTATATAGGATGGTTACAGTTCTTTGAGGTAATTATTTGAAATTTTGATGACCATCACAATACCCAATTCAAGATCATTCATATTATTTAGATATTTTTTTTTTTTTTTTTTTTTTTTTTTTACCGCACCCTCAAATTTTACGGATCCCCCCCTTCTCTTTTACCCCCCAGCGAGAAAATAAAAAAAAAACCAAATTATTATACAGGCACTCATAGAGGAGCCCCGTTTGCTAAAAGTCGGGATAAACAAAGCCTTTACCCGCTTCTCAATTTTTTCTTTTCCCCTATTCACCCCATACTAACCCAACTACATTTTCGTTCCTTATCACTTTTCTCTTTGTATATCTCTTCCTATTATCTTTTTTCTTTCCATCCCTTTATACATATATTCCTTACCGCATAATCTTTTTCGAGGCGCTCACCTGTGACCTTTTCCTTTAACCAATATATTTTTTCTATTTCTTATCTATTAAGATAAAGAAGTTATATATTAGAAAAAAATTTTTTGCTTACCATCCGAGCGGATTTTGAAAGAAAGCTGCTGAAAAATTTAAGAGGTATCTGCGTTGCTGGACGACATGCATATGCCTTATGGGAAGTCGCATATGGCGGGTTATGCAACAAGGAATCAAAAAGCAAAGGTAAGTAGTTTGAACTAAATCTTGTAAAAAACTCTTGCATTACTATCTGTAATTTATACATTTTATATAAAATCTTTGCGATTTCAACTAGCTCGCCGCCGATTACCAAGAATTATTAAAAGAACTTTCAACGACTACCAATATACAGTCGGTCGGCAATTATGTTTTAGAAAAAACGCTGGGTGAAGGTAAAATAATATTAATAATTCATAATTCATAATTCCTCGTTGCACTTTAAAACATTTTACCTTTTTTCTTTAGGATCGTATGGAAAAGTTAAGCTTGCAACGCATAAATTGACCGGTCGACAGGTAATCATTCACTACAAAAAAAATTTTTTTTTCCCTTTTTTTTAAAGAGATTTTTTTTTTCTTTTCCTCTCCTTTAATCCTCGGATTAGGTCGCAATAAAAATAATACCAAAAATTCATGCCGAGAACCTCACTCGTGAAATACATCATCACCGTTATTTACATCATCCTAATATCATATCTCTTCTCGAAGTCATATCAACAGAAAGCAAAATTTATATCGTTTTGGAATATTGTGAAGGTGGAGAGTTATACGATTTTTTAGTTGAACGGGGACGCCTGAGAGAAAATCTGGCAAGAAAATTGTTTGGCCAGTTATGTAGGGCGGTCAAATATTGTCATGACAGAAGAGTGGTTCATAGGTATTATAATTTGCTATTTTATTATCGTTGGTCGATATGCATACGGGATTTTATCTTCAAAGTGATAATTTACCAATCACTTTAAATGTCATATTACGTAGGGACTTAAAACTTGAAAACATTCTTCTCGATTCTAACAATAATATAAAATTAGCCGATTTTGGTTTTACGCGGGAGTGTGAAAGTAAAAGATTACTGGAGACAATTTGTGGTTCAACAGGGTATTCTGCTCCAGGTACGTGACCAAATTAATATATAGTACAAAAAATATACAAAACATTAGTGGAATTTTCTGGATATTATGTTAGAGATTTAATGTCAAGCGTACAAACTTCGATAGTGAAATCTCTCTAGGAGAATTTAGTCAAAACATAGGAAATTTTTACTACTGTAAAATCGAATTTTTCAAGTTAATTGAAAAGGTGAAATTTATTAGTGTTGCTAATAAATTCTCAAAGTTTCTCTCCCATTCATTCCATTTTTTATGCTTCACGCTCGGTACATAATAGAATGTGCTATATTTTTTATCAGTGTTTTTTTTTTTTTTTTTTTTTTTTTTTTTTACTTCACGAAAACTTTGAGTTTTTTCGGATTATATTATGTTATACTCAAATTTCTATTCTATGTTGTCTCTATGATTTTCTTTCTTTAGAAATGTTACGTGGCAATAAATATTCTGGATTAGGTAAATTATAATCTTCAATTTTTATTGGTATCAAATATAATCAAATTATTGTAATATGATATTTAATGTTTTAATTTAACGCAATTAGAGATTGACATATGGTCTCTTGGTGTCATTCTATACACATTGCTTTGCGGCGCGCTTCCTTTTGATGATGATGATGAAAATGAGATGAGAAACAAAATAATAAAGGGCGAATATGAAATGGAAGAATTTTTATCAGATGGTATTTATATTAAAAATCGAGAATTTTATTAGGCGCAGCAAAGTATAATTATCTGACGAAAACTTTATGGAGAAATTAAAAACAATCAAGTGATTACTTATAGTTTAGTGGGAACCATCTCGCAAATTTCCATAAAGAAAAAAAAAATTTATATGATCTAATGTAAATTAGATCGCATGATATACTATCAAAGCTTTTTATAATTGTAAAAAAAACACGATGTATCCTGAAATATTTTGGAACCTTGGAACCGAGGACAAACATTTTATTATCTTGCTGCGCCTTGCATTTTCCCCAAAATTATGATATACTTATCGAATAAAATTTCTCTTTTTTTTTCTCGTTTTTTCCTTTTCCATTATAATTTGAATTATTACAGAGGCCAAAGACCTCATACGTTCAATATTACAATTGGAACCATCAGAGCGACCGACTTTAAAACAGATTTTGCAACATGTATGGTTTAAAATAAAAGATGAGGAGGAATACGATGATGATGATTGGGCTACATCAGATGATATAGCCGATGATGATGAATCAATATCATCATCAATCGAAGAGAATAGTGTAAAGGAACCTATAAAAGAAGTAACAATTTCATCATCATCTAAAGACATTCATATAGATGCAACAAGTCATCTTGAAAGACAACGACAAGAAATATTTTTGGCGACAAGGCAACATAACGCTTCATTACCAAATCATTATCCCATGACATTTACTCGACATTCTAATTCATATGATAGTGATATTATAAATTCAACTGCACCATCAGCTTTTAAGAGTAGATTTAAAAATTTTTCTCCCGCAGTTGGTCCTTCACCTCCCAAAGTTTGGGGTCCTTCAACGTCAAAAACGTCTCGAAGATCCTCAATTGATAGTAAAGCTTTTAACGAAAAGGTTTTTTTTACGACGCCTGAAGAAAAGGAACTATTGGAAAAATTAGAAAATTTGGGATTGGATATAACAGGAATAAAAGATAGTGTTTTGGAAGGTAAAGTTGATTCTGCTAGTGGACTTTGGTGGCTTTTATTGGCCAAATTAAGAGAAAAGAGAAAAATCGAAGGAGTTCAAAGTTCTGTAACAATGGTAAATGTGGCAGTTGGTACAAGTGATGAAGAAATAGAGATAGCGGAAGAAACTGAAGAATATGATTCATCGGAAAATAGTATAGAGCTTGATAGGTTACAAGAGGAGATAGTGAAAGATGTGGATTCCACAAAAACTTCAGAAAAAATAATGTCACCTCCCACACCACCGCCAAAAACTTATCATGCCGCCCCCGCTTCGCGTGAAAGGCGCAAGTCTTTGATTTTATCGCTCCCAGAAGCAGTTGAACCCGTTCTCACCACTATTACCGCAACGGCATCTCCTCCTTTATCACCTAAAAAGTATTCATCATTTACTAGTCCTATAAGTTCAAGATCAGTTAGTCCAATACCGAGTAACAATCCAATGCCAATGCCTATGCCAATGCCTATATCTAATAGTAAAAATGCTCATCGAAAAAGAGGAGGGTTATTATCAACGATTAGAGGATGGTGGGGTGGATCACATAACCCAAAAGATGTTAATAGTGCATATAAAAAAAGTATGTTAAATTGGGCGGAAAGTGGTGTGGTGGTTCCGGCTGATGTAGTTCATGTAAGACGATTGAACAGAAGAAGGAGTGGTAGTAAAACGCCACCAGGTTTTGAAGGTGCAAATAGTTTTAGCTTATCAAGAAGGTCATCAATGAGTCGAAGTTCATTAAGAGACAAAAAGAAAAGGAGAATTCCAATACAAGGTATCAAAGGAGGGAATAAACGTGCCACACCTACTCCTGCACCTTTAATGATACCTCCTGTCACGCCTTCTATTGTTCTCTCACAAAGTTCACCTACAAGCATGTCTCCAATACCTGGAACGCCACCAGCGTCAAGGCCTAAGACTTTGTTTACTAAAAATCGGAGAAATCCTTTTGCATATCAAGGTTCATCACGTAAACAAGTTAAACGACGGAGTATAAATTCAATAAATAATTTACTGGACAATTTTAATTCTGCTTCTGGTTCTGGTTCTTCTGAAAACAATTATACTAATCATCTTAATATTCTTACTAATAATAATGATCATCAGGAAAATAAGAACACTTGTGAGAAAAGTGCGATAGAAAACATTATTCCTAATGATGAAGAAACCACGATAGATGAACGATTAATCGTAGTAGAGTCATCAAAATCTAAAACAATAACATTAGCCTCACCTCCACCAACACCACCACCACCTAATAATAATAATCATAGTAGCACTAATCCATCTCAAAGATCTAAAAGTGAACATTTTGGATTACAAAAAGTTGATAATCGCAAAATATCAGAGGATACTTTAATATCAATATCGAGTGATGGTGATGAATCAGATGTATTTGTTGATGCTGCAAGCACTTTTACATCAAATCCAAGATCTCGTTCAACTTCACCATCACCATCAACTTCAGCTTCACCGTCACCGACTAATTCACCAGTAATTAAACCCGACGAAACCATCGTAAATCCACCTTCCTTTTCCTCATCAAATTCTCGTCAACCTAGTAGTACATCAATAAGCTTTACCCCTCCAAGACATCAATCTCAAACAAGTCCAGTATCGCCACCTTTATCACCAATTGAAAGTGTCGTCGTTCCATCGTCCTTGCCTAGCATGAATGTCGTTCATAAAATACAGGTTCATTCCAATGCATCACGGAAATCCGTTGAAAGAGGTAAACAATCAGAAGTAAAATTTTCACCTATTGAAAAACCAACCTCCCCCTCTACAAAATCTGTAATGATTTTAATTTCAACGCCGCCAGAATCACCAAAATTATCGACACCAACACCTTCAACAAATTTAAACCCACAAAGTAAATTTGGTCTACATACGCGCTCTTATACTTCACCTTCAGCAGCATCATCATTGAACAATGTTAATGAAGACGATATGGAAGATAATTATAATCATAATAGTGATAATTATAGTAATCATAGTAGTAGTAGTAGTAGTAGTAGTAGTAGTAGTAATATAAATGGAATAAAGAACAATGGCATGGATATTGAAATTAATAATAAGCGAGACTCCTCACATCCTCCACCAAATATGAATGCTTCGCAGATGATGTTTTTACAGAACAATGGGCGAAATACACGACAGAAGAATTCTTATTTAAATCCGAGTTCAAGTATTATATCCGCACGTAGGCCAAGTATAGCTAAACCTCCAAAACCAGCGATGATTATTGAAGAAGAGGAGGAGGAAGAGTAGGAAGAGTGACTTAATAACATAAAATCGAACAAAAAAAAATAGGATGCATTGGCATCTAACGGACTATTTTTCGAGTCATGATTTGTACTTGATTCATAATTGAAGAGTTCGTGCGTTTATGTTGTATTTTTAATATATTATTACCGTCGTCAATTAGTTCTCTTGCCTTTCTTTGTTTATTTATTCAATATTTTCTTACCCCCTTAAAAAAAATTAAACCTATTTCCCCTTACTGTGTATAAAAAAAAAAATAAACTTTTAATGTTCATTTATTAACAATTAGGTTATTTTATATATATATATAATTTATAAAAAAACTTAGTTATGATTCTATTTCATTTACATACATTACATATACTAACTTACGACACTTTTACATATCCTTTATTTATTCCTATTTTAGTTAATTTTTATTTTTTATTTTAGAAGTTAATTTTTTTATATGAAAAAAAAATAGTGCGTTAAATATAATTTTTTTCCATTTTACAGATATCATAATGCATGATAATGCGCATTTAGTTAGAATTTAGAATATATATTTATCTTAAACATCTTTTCTTTACAGGTTAATATCATAGATATTAGACATCGATAAGAACAAAATATGTCATCAAAATTTTTTTTTTTTTTTTTTTTTTTTTCAACCAATGGAAATAAATATTTCATCAAATTATATAAATTATATGCTAGTTATTTATTTATTTATCCCTTACGTGATATGTATACAAACAAAAACAATATTAACTTTATTTATTCATAGAATTCCATATCTGTGACGCCCGTTTTTAAAAAAAATCTGATAACGGATCTGATAACTCAAATTGTACAAGTTTGTTTAATTAATTATCAGATTTTAATACATTATTTGATATGATCTTCAGGGAAACATTTCCTCATTCAGTTCACGCGTACGTCACTGCCACAAACTGGTGCTATAAAATTATGTATGCACCTTTTTTGATACTAGAATTGTATTTATTTACTCCCCTTTTCTTTTTTTAATAATCCGTACTTTTTTTTTTGTATCAAATTCTGTTTGTGGGAAAAATTTTACTAAATGACAACCTCTGAACCACTTCTTTCACAACCTCGTAGTCGTAGTTCAAGTGGATCAAGGTATGAAGCAATACCTACAAGATTTGAAATACCAGAGGAAAGAAGACTTATCTCTGAAACTGATTATGAGGATAATGAATCTCTTAAGGGTTCTTCGTTAGAGGAAGAAGAAATTTATGAAGAAAGACCTTTGAAATTTAAAGTTATTGCTTTATTATGCGTTTTGTCTTTAGCTGGTAGGGTTGCCCATATCTAAATTAGTAAATCATGTGATCTATCATTAATTTTTCTATAAATCATGTGCCTTATCAGTGGGAAGTCATTACGCTGGTCATACTCTTGGTGCTTTAAAATCGACAATCAAAAAAGTAAGCCATGTTCCGATGTCAATCATCCCACAATCACATGATATTATACTTATTTTTATATTTTTATTTATAGGAATTAGGCATTTCAAATTCACAATATGGTGTCATTCAGTCATCAGTATCATTGGTTAACACAATTCTACCGATTCTCGGTGGGGTGTTTATTGATACATTTGGGACTTCGGTTGGCTCCATATTGGCTACTTCTCTTATAGCTATAGGAAATATCTTTGTAGCATTATCAACTGATTTAAAATCATTTGCTGTAATGGTCATTGGTAGAATATTGTATGGAATTGGAAGTGGAACAATTGTTATAGTCCAAATGGCTATTTTGTGTCATTGGTTTAAAGGAAAAGGACTAGCAATTGCAGTAGGAATTCAGATTGCTATGTCAAGATTGGTATGTATATATTTAAAGGAGAATCGCAAATGATATAATTTTAATCTTTGACTTTTTATTTTATTAAAAAAAAGTCGTCCTTCTTGGCCAATCTAACAGTGGTTCCAATCACAAAGATTACAGGATTTTATGGATGGGCATTTTGGGTACGATAATTTTCACTTCCATTTTAAATCTTTATGATCTTTTAACCAATCCGTTATTTATTTGTGATTTAGTTTTCCGCATTTCTTTGCATCATTTCATTAATAATCAATATCACATACGTTCTTTTAATGAGAATCCTTCATGAAAAATTATCGACACAAGAAATGATGAAGATTAAACAAAAAAGGCATTTTTGCCCTAAAAAATTATTGGTGTTTCCTACCATTTATTGGATCTTTGTTTTGCTTGAATTTGAGTTGGGTAGTGCTTGGACTTCATTCTTACATATCCATACGTAAACATTCCCCTCATTCACATTATTATTCATTTAATTCATGTTTTTGATGCCCTTTTTTGATACCTTTACGAGAACTAACCCACATTCATATTATAGGGAATTGGTAAAAAATAGATGGAATTGTTCTGATGAAGTTGCGGCTTATAATTCTAGTATGGCTCAGTTCTTGCCAATATTCATTTCTCCTTTCCTTGGATACTTTCTGGATCGTTTCGGAAATCGTTCTTTATTCCGTAAGATTATATTTTAAGATCTTAAGATTCATTTATTTCATAATTATAACTAACATACTTATTCCCTTTCCTTCAATTTTTAATTTAGTGATCGCATCCACATTTTTTCTCACAATATCGATGTACCTTCTTGGATTCACTTTAGCATTTACACCAATCATAGGAATGATTTGTTTTTCAATTTCACTTTCATTAGGTCCGGTAGCATTAATGTCATCAATACCAGTACTATTACCTTTAGATTATATTGGTACAGCATTGGGTATTGTTAAATCAAGTTCAAATATTGGATCAACAATTTATGATATATTTGTGGGGAAACTACAAGATTTGGATAAAGGCGATTATGATATGGTAATGATTCTTTACTTAGGTAGTAGTATATTAGCTATAATTGTATCTACATGTTTATTTATTGTATCAAAAAATTGTTATGATGGTATCTTGGATATGAGAGAAGATGAAAGAAAAGGTTATTACGAAGAAAAACTCAAACGTTATAATCACCATAATAATGATGATAGTGAGAATCATGGTATAATGAAACGTAAACAACCTAGTAAAAGAAATTATTTTTATATTGGTTTTTTTATTGGTGTATTAATTTTAAGTTGGGTTTTATTTTTCATATTTGTAATTCAACAAGAGTAATTACAGTAATTACTCATAGAAAGGAAATGTTATTTAGAAAGAGAAGGAACGACATTATCAATTCATTAGATTAAGCAATTCAATAGAAATCTATCTTTATAGTATACGTCAAGGAAAGGTTTTATTCTTATTTTTATTATTATTATTATTAAATCTATATCTTTCAAGTATTTAAATATTTAAAATATTTTATTCCGTTAAAATATTGAATTTTATTATTAATTTTGAAGCATGACTAATCAATCATATGTTTATTTCTTAAATCTGTCTGTGGACTTTTGCTAAATATTAGAATAATAAATATTCTTATAACAAATTCATAATTCTATCACTCCTTGAATTATTTATTATTTTAATTTTAAGTTACAGTTAGATTTGTCTATAATTACAGTGAGACCTCTCAAAATGCATCCTCCCTAAATGCATACATATATATTTTTTTCTATAAATGCATATTTTACATCAGTATTTGGTAATGACCTGATCATTTGACTATTTAAATGATTTGTCTATTCCTTTGTCATAATTATAAATCATTTAGCATTTGTCATTTCACAAATAATCTAAATAATAAATGATAAATGATCAAGGTCATTTAAGATCATTTAAGATCATTTGTCATTTGGTTATTTGCTTTTATAAAATACTCTTAGAAAATCATGAATTTTTTAGAGTTTCACAATTTTAAATAAAAAATCATTACAAAGGAACAATAGTTTTAATTGTTCTTTTAAAATAATTCTTCTATTATTCTATCAGAAAAATAACAAAAGTAAAAAAATTGTTCAATTTTTTAGCTTGAGTTTAGCACTTGACTCAACTTGACTGGACTTATCTGATTCGTAATTTGAGTTGATTCATTTAAAACTCAAATAATTTATTATACTATATATAAAATCTTTGTTAAATATAAAATATATTTTTTTTAATATATATAATTAAATTTTTTAATAAATTTAACTTACTTATACTATAATAAATAAAATAATAATAAAAATATGCTATATTTAGAAATTATTAAAATGACCAATCATTTATCATTTGTTATTTGAGTCATTTGCTAATCATAATCATTTGACTAATACTATTTTATACAACTTTAAGTATATAAAGATTATACAAAATTTTCTTTTTAAATATATACTCTCTTTTAAATATACATATTTTCAAATTTTTACTATGATCATATGTAGGTATATTTAAAGAAGTCTTATTGTACCACTTTAGTCACATAGTAATTTTTTTTTAAAATATATGTATTTTACTATAATAAGACCTTTTTAAATGCATTCTCCCTAAATGCATACATATATATTTTTTCTATAAATATATATTCTTCACAACCTAAATATATAAAGATCATACAAAATTTCTCTTTTTAAATATACACCTTCTTTTAAATACACATCTTTTCAAATTTTCATTATGGTTCCAAGAAGAATGTATTTAGAAAAGGTTTCATTTTACCACTTTTAATCACATAGTAAATTTTTTAAAATATGAGATGATCAGTAGCAAAGGTGAAAATCTAAATTTTGGTCAAAAATTATATTATTAGATCATTTGGCTAATCTCGATCATGTATACAAATTTGGCTTAATAATAAAAATTAACAAAAATTTTGGATTTTCCCTTTTCTACTGACTGTCTTCCATATATGTATTTTATTACAATAAGACCTTTCTAAATGTATCCTTTCTAAATAAATATATATATATATATATATTTCTATACATACACATTTCACACAACTTTAAGTATATAAAAATCATACAAAATTTCTCTTTTTAAATACATATCCTCTTTAAATGCATATTTTTTTTAATTTTCATTATAATTCTAAGGGATGCATTTAGAGAAGTCTCACTGTATATTGTAATAATATAGAAGCATTTTTTTATTAATTTAATCATAATTGTTTTTTAATATATGCATAATTATAAAAAGGTTTTTATATGATGTATTTATAGACAGGATTATTCTAACTGTAATTTAAAAAAAAAAAATTATTGTATAATTAAAATTTAATGCATTTAATAAAAATTTGATATAATATTAACTATTTTAACTGATTTAATTGATAAAATTTATAATTATTTAATAATTTATATTTTATAATAAATTTATTTTTACTTAATAAAAAATCCTTAAATAGTAAAGATCAAATAGAACATCTGGAATAAAATTTTCAAATAGTACACAAAAGTTTTTTAACTCAATTCTAGCTATATGAATTAACTATTAAATTCAAGCCACTTATGTGATTTGGCTCAAATCTAAATAATCATAAATGTTGAAGTTAAACTTGACTAGGAATTAGCCTGTTTAATATTAAGAATTATACTATTTAATAAAGATATGCTAATCTGATTTTAATTTCAAATAATATATCAAAAAATTATACTATACTATTTGCCTTTAAGGAAAGTTGAGAATATTAAGAAACAAAGTGACAAAATATTTGAGTCTACAATTCTTGCAAATCTGATATATATAATATCTTTTATGCTATTCTGCTTGTCTCCTAGAGGGCCATAAAAAATTAAGGAATAAAATGACATAATTTGAGATAGACCTAATCTTGCAAGTCTAAAATGCATATAATATTTCTTGATATCTTAGAATTAATTCTAAAATTAATTCTTATCTGATTTTATAGATCACTAAGTCTTACACCTCTAGGGTGTAAAAAAATATTTTTATATAACTTAATTTATTAAGTCATACAAAAAATTAGATATTAAGAATAAACTCTAGATATTATTTTATTTTATTTCAACTATATTCCAAAATTATAATATATAGAAAAACATTCTAGAGCCCTTTTATTAAAAAATTTATTAGGTCAAATAACTTAAGTCATAAGAAAAAATTAAATCATACAAAAAATTTATAATGATAATATTCACTAATTGTCTGCCCATATTATTTTTATTATATTTCAAAATGATAATATACAGAAAAGTATTCTAGAGCCAATTACGTTTTAATCTGAAGTCTATTAATATATTAGATCATCTAGTATCCTTTAACATGTAATAAACTTCGTCTAGAAGTTGTGTCAGTAAGTTTATCACATTTACTATATGAAACATGTATCTTAGCCTTTCAATGAAAATGACATTCTTCAATATATGCAAGATTTACTACAGGTCTTACTAATATTGAATAAATATAAACAGAAATATTCTTTAATCATTTTTTGATAATAGGAAGGAAGAATTAATTAAAAAAAAAAGTTTGTAAAGGTATTATATCCCTTAGATATTTACCAATATTAAGGTAATTAATTAATTAAAGAAAAAATTTATAAAGGTATTATATATACATCAGTATGGCAAGAAGTAATAAGAAAAATTGAATTTGTGATTGATGTGATAAAAAGTAGGGTTCCTCAAAATCGAATCAAATCAAATATTTAAGCAATTTGAATTTGATTTGATTTTTTCAAATTGAATCGAA